CTGAGGGAACTGGGTCACTTCAGCCTGGAGAAGAGGAGACTCAGAGGAGATATGTTGGTGACATACAGGTATGTGAGGGGATGTCACATGGAGATGGGTAGAGGCCTGTTCTCCCCTGCAGAGGAGGGCAGGACACGCTCCAATGGAGCAAAGCTCAGGGAACCAAGGCTCCATTTAGATGCCAGGAAGCACTTCCTGACAGTCAGGACCCCGAGGGTGTGGAATGGGCTTCCACGGGAGGTTGTTGAGGCCCCATCGGTGAAGGTGTTCAAGGATGGGCTGGACATCCACATGGTGGGCATGTCATGAGCGGAGCCGGCTGGTGCCGGAGGTCAGACTAGATGGCCCGGGAGACCCCTTCTGACTTGCTCTGTTTCTATGTTTCATCCATGACCACTGGTCACGCTGGCTAGGGATAAAGTGAATTTTAGTCTTGGGGTAGGACAGGAAACATAGACACAATTATTCTTGTTTATGCAGGGTTAGACTGAAAATTAAGATGGCCAATCAGAATGGAGGGAGTGACACATGAAATGAAGGTCAAAGGTCTAACTTCTTTCATTGGACTCTGTTGGAAAGAGACTGCTGACCTAGATGGACTCCTGATCTGGCCCAGCTGGTCTTCTGAACCTCTATGAAAAAAATGAGATAATTCATGTTGAAGCTGCAGAGATGCTGATAGCCCACGTGGCACAAAGGAAAAATAATTTAGGCCACCATAAAGCTGCATTCCAGGCTGTAGCCATTTCCAGCAGCTGGATTTCCAATAATAAAAAAGTACATGCTTTGGACAACATTCTCTTGCAAGCAATTCAAAACAAAAGAAGTACATTGCCATGAGAATGAGCTTTGGAAAGGGGGAAAACTGTTTCCCATCAGCTGACAGTTTCATAACATGCTTCCAAACACAGAGGGGCATGGCCTCTCTCTTTGATAATGGCACCATCAAGAAATGACTAGCCATTATGGACTAGTTGGACTTACAACTTTTTGTTGCTTAGTCCCAAAGTTGTGCCCAACACATCATGACCCCATGGACAACATTCCTCCAGGCTCTCCTATCCTCCACCATCCCTCGGAGACCACCCAGGCCCACACCCACTGCCCCAGTGACCCCCTCTAGCCACCTCGACCTCAATTGAACGTCACTCATTCCCAGCATCAGGGTCTTCTCCAGTGAGTCCTTCCTTCTCATTAGGTGGTCAGGACCTACAACTACACCTCTAACATCAAAGACAGAATTTATATTTCATTGGCCCGATGCACACACATCCCTCCAATATTCCCCTTTACTGGACAGTCTGACACTGGGTGAAGCTGGCTGTGTGAACCAAATCCATTGAAAAACATTACCAATTGTTTATGTTAAGCAAATATAGAAATCTGGTGAATCCATTTAAAAAGGCACTACTGATGAGATGATCTGGAAGTTTTATCTATATTGCTAGACCTGTCCTGCCTCGAGGTTACTGCTTGGTGTTGTGGTTATCAAGAGTTGTACATGCATGTGAGAACCAGTCCCAGGAAGGAGACAGTTAAACTGATGCCACCAGAAGAGCATTCTAGGCTTGCACTTGAAGCTAAAGAAAGGGGGAAATAACAAATAGAAGGTCTGGAAGTGTGCCAAGGGACTGGCACTGGACTATCAGTGGGCCACTGAAAGTACATTCTACTTAGAGCATGTGATGTGTATTTTTACAGAGTTTTTAATGAATTAAACCCTCTTGCTAATGGAATAGTTTTGTAAGTGGAACAGGAAGGGGGGGATTCCCTCTCCCCCCCCAGCACACTCATAAACACACTAAAGCAATGAGAAGAGGGGGCTACAGAAGTAGGAGAGGAATGGTGCCTTACGCAAGTGTATCCAAGCATTTGGATTTCACCCAAACCTTTGTAAAGGCCTAAAGCTCCCACCCAATACATTTCCACTGCATTTTCACAATTCTTGTGCAGCAGAGAGGTGCACTTGTATGTTCTTTGTAAATATTAGGAGCAGGTAGCTATAAACATCTGTAAGTAGATAAAAATATTTAGCAGAACGCAGATGGAAATCATGAGGCATCCACTTAAATGAGGCATTTGTATGAGCAAATGTTCTGGGGGATATTCCTGTGTTATTTGAGCTTGTAAAACACTTTCCTACCATTTACAATTCCAGGATGACAAGCAGCTTCATCTTACCGGATGGGGTGTGTGTGTGTGTGTGTGTGTTTTTTAAGAAAGGGAATTGTTGTGATGGGGAGACTTTGCAATAGATAGGGAGGATTTTTTCTCCACCAGTGCTCAGCTGGATGCATCCAGGAAGCCGGACATGAGACATGTAGCAGAAAGCTTCCTGTTGTTTGTCCCTACTGTCTCCTATTTGGAGGTACACTGCCTTGGTTCATGGAAGTTTTCTTTATGATGCCTGCTCTCTGTTGATAGAAATGTATAGTAATCTTCTCTAGGAGAGGAACCTAGATCCCTTCCACCCAAAGTGAGAATCATATCCCTAGGCCTGATTCTCTTCAGATGTTGTTAGAGAACACCCATTCCCCTGATCATTGGCCAAGTTGGCTAGGGCTTGCAGAAGCTGAAGTCCAACACCAGTGAGAAAGCCCCAAGTCATACGTTCTTTGCCCCTGCTTTAGACTATCGAGCTTCTTGGAAGTGGTTTCCTTCTGCTCCCTGAACTTGATTCAATAAAAACAAGACTGCGACCCTTATTTGGAAGTAAATCTCACTGAAGGTGAGCAGAACACAGCAAGTTAGAGGTCCCCAGAGGAACAGAGTAAAGAAGGGATGTACTGACCAGCCACGGCTGCATCCAGCTCATCTTCGTCCACTGACTCTTGAGTGCAGATGCCGGCCAGAGGGGATCGTGCGTAGCATGTGTTGAGGTTCAAGCCCAGCATGAAGTTGTGCACTTTGCCTGCTCGCCCCTCTCGGGTGGTGAAAAGGGCACTGTCACCTATCAGGGCCACAAACATGCGCTGGACCCAGCTATCCTGGCTGTTCTGCTCACGTGCTCTGACGGCATCGAGATTTTCTGAACCTGTACACAGAAAAGGAGCGGAAAGGGCATCAGCACAGAATAACCCATCTCCCATGGGAAGCTGGGCAAAACAACAACCGTCACAGAAATGATGTCTCTGAGGGCAACAAAAATGATCCAGGGTTTGGAAACACTGCCCTATGAGAAGAGATGGAGAGACTGAGAGAACTGGGCATGTTCAGTCTTGAGGAGAGAAGACTGAGGGGGCACATGGTATCCCTCTACAAGTACCTCAAAGGCTGCCCCAAAGAGGAAGGTCAAGATCTCTTCTTGCTGATGCCAGAGTGTGGGACATGGAATAATCAGTTCAAGTTGTGGCACCCCAGATTCAGGCTGGACATCAGGAAAAGCTTCCTCACTGTCAGAGCAATATGGCAGTGGAACCAGCTGCCTGGAGAGGTGCTGGACTCTCCCACACTGGAGACATTCAAGAAGAAACTGGACAGCCATCTGAGTGGGATGGCATGACGTGGTGTCCTGCACCAGCAGGGGGTTGGACGCAATGGCCTTCATGGCCCCTTCCAACTCTACTATTCTATGATTCTATGAATTCAAGCAGTATCTGAAAGGCAAGCTGCATGTTGCATGCAAGTGCACTGGATGAGTCTTCAGCCTGGGGGTGGAGAGTGAGCAGGGTTTTATTGTGTCTCTGAAGGCCTGGAGGACACGGCATGCTCTGCACTGGCCATTTGAGACTTCTGTAGAAGAGCAGGACCTCTTGTGCAGAGAATATGCACTTCAGGCTAGCTAAACAACCCAGATTTTTCTGACCAGCACGACGCCAGAACACCAACGCCTGAAAAGGAAAATGGATCTCACAAGATGTCTCTTACTGTTTCAAAAACTGGTAGACCAACCAAAGCATATCCTCTATCTTGATCTAAGTTCCTTTTCTGAGAAGAAAACAATTAATTCCCTAGACGGTCAACCTATGAGGTGGGGTTGTGTTGATTTACATTTATAAAGGAAAAATAGACAAACAGGTGACCTGACACTTTGAATATCAAGGTACACTCTGGATATACATGAATAATTGCCAAGAGAAGATATGAAGGCCATGCCAAGAAAGTAAAGGGCCAAATTTGCACTTCTCCAATCAACACAACTGAGGATAAGCAAATACTTCATCTCTTACATTGGGTGACTGCTGTGCCTTTTGCTTTCAAAGTATGTTCTCTGTGGTTTAAATATAGTCCTGCTTCCACCTCAACTCAATGTGTATGTTTGGGCATTCCTGGAATCACTGGTGGCCCTGGCTGCATACAGCACTGGGGTTCTGTTTGTCCATAAAAGGTAGAAAATACTGCTCTGGTGACTAACCTAAGGCAAAAAGCCAGGTTCCTTATATTTGCACTAGGTCTGCCCATTCCAAGGGTTTCATACCATCTACTAAAGAGAGCTTGGAGGAATTAAAGGTTTTTATTTATTTATTAAAACATTTCTATGCCGCCCCTTGCCGTAGCCTCGGGGCGGCTCACAACATAATAAAATACACAATAAATTAAAACAATAACAATTAAAATATATACATTGGAATAAAATGTATAAAAGGTTCTTGGTAGCTTCGCGGCCTCCATCTCAGACCATCTCGGATCTCCCATCAACTTGTGTTCCATGGGATCCTAAGCAAATTTACTCTGAAGAACCTCTAATAGGATTCACACCTTAGTAAATATGTTTAGTACTGCCATCCTAATTTTACTGAAGTTCACGGGACCAAACTACTCCAAATGCCTTAGGTTCATTGGACTCAAAATATTTTCTTAAATAGTCCATTTACATAGGAGATTCTTGACTTTAGGGTGCACTTGTAGATCAGAGACAATGGTTTTGGTAAAGTAATGGCTACAGTGTTTGAGCGACAAATCAGAAATTTCCTGATTCAGCTCTCACCTCTGCCATGAACTCACTAGATACACTCAGGCAATCCACTTCTCACTCAACTTCCATCTGCAATAAGGGGATAACAATATTCACCTACCTTACAGGTTGTCTTACAAAATGACAATGCATATGAAACACTTTGAAACACACATCCAGCTTTTTTAAAAGCTTTCTGTAAAAACAGGACATTCACACTACATGGTTTCTAACAATTCCTTTCCTAAGCATCAAGAAACATTTTATTTATAGGGATTGGGTCTGGTTTTCCCAAAATACAGCATTCTAAGGAGGATATCTCAGACTGTGCATCTGAACAGGAAGAAAGGGCAGGGTCAGAATGTTTAGCCGACATGCTGGGGATAACAAGCTCCGGAAAAAGCAAACCGGTTGGCAAAAACCAGACTGCTTCTAGTTTGCAGGGGGACACTGTGGAAAAAGGAGGGTCAGAGATGGAGGAGTGTGACTTTATCAGCCCTGTGATTTAGTCAGGTGAACATCCAGTTAAGCAACATCCAGTGTTAAATAATATCCAACATTCCTACCATCTCAGTGTTCCCACATGCAGGGCAAACCTCCCTGAGGGTCGAGCCAACCCTATTTGGTGAAAAAGAGAGGAGGTGAATTCAGTTTGCAATCAGCTCCTGCTATAGGAAAGAACTAACTCCATAATTAGAGGATTTTAACTTGATGAAGGCCTCTTGCTAACAACCTTTATAATACTCGTTCGGGAATAATACCTCTGTTGGAAGAGATACTGGCCCTTGACTTCATCAAAGAGCCATGTATTCTTTTCATGAACCATTCCCTAATTAACAAATGTCATGAGCTGAAATTCCTCCTTCAACCAGTCAAAAGCCACAGACCATTTTCCTTGCAACGCATTCTTCATTGGCCCAAAAAGCATTAATCACCCAGAATGGATCCCTGAGCATTCAGAGTGGCTTGTTGAACCTGATGAAGTATTCACCTCCAGAAACTCTCCTAACGAGCACGTCAGGGCTTGATCTCTTTGGGAGGGCCTTATGAAAGTGACCACACCTTCTGTCTGCACACCAATCATCCAGTTGCTCTGCATGCCTCTGTTGACTCTCCATCATGGGCCAAGAGCCAGGGCTGCCTGCTCTCTGTGTCTGAGAAACTCCCCTGCCATCTGCACATTCCCAGGAACTGCCTGTCCATCTGGGGAGTGTGGCCTTGAGATAAGCCCCTCCATGTCTTTCATTTCTGTCTCAGTATGGTTCATACTCCCAAACTCCATCCTGTTCTGGTTCTGATGAATCCCAGCCAGCAGTCCTTGAGAAGAAGCACTCAATGCAGCCATCCTTCTACTCCCAACAGCACATGATCTCCTGTCTCCCTTTTGGCCATGTTTTGCTTTGGTGTTACTAATCAAGAAGAACTGAGAGAGCATTATATTGGCCAACTGTTCTTACCTTTTGGTCCTTGAGACTCATCATCACTGTCTGAGTCATTGCTCACAAGATGCTGCAACCTGATATTTTCTGTGGATGAAAACAAAGAGATATTTGGGGACTTTAAATGGCTGCGTGGGAACAAGAGTCAATTACTATCCTGAGAGATACAACTGAGAGGGTGAAAATCGAGATCCCTCTGCACACATATGAGTTCTCCATGCATACATCTGTACACAAAGAGAACTCACCCAAACGAACATCAAATGGACATTCATCAAAGGAACATGACGGCACTGCTCAGAAACAGTGAGGAGAGAGGGTAGCTTGCAGACCCTCCGTGTGTCCATGTGACACCAACCTCCTTCTGCTTTAAAAGAGCCAGTAATGTTACCATATCCAAGAATTCATGCAGCTAGCTTCAACTTATGTATTATTTTACTCCAAAGACATTCCTGTATCTTTAAAGAACAACAGATTGCTAAGTTGGATGGCATTACACCAGTACTACATGCCAGTGTCTGTGCAAAGAAATTAGGAAAGAGATGAGTATTTTATGACAATAACTGACAACGCATCTTTTTCTCTTCTCTTGTCCTTATTTTAAGTTCTCAAACTTGTTTTCATCAAAACCCAAAGAAGATCTCCGTGAAAATGCTCCTGGTGCTCTAGCAAGCCCGTTCTCAACCCCTTCACCATGCCAAAGTAACTTGGGTAGGAAGTGACTGGACTAGAATTGCACATGAAGGCGAGCAAGACACAGTACATAGTTCGCACACCTGTGGAATGGTGTGGACTCACAGGGCTTAGAAGTTTGCTGTACCCTGGAATTCTGGCTTCCTTCTCTCTGGCTCCTGGCCACCCTCCAGTGTTTAGCTAGTCGGTGGCTTAGGAGAGCTGAGTTAGATAGTTCACCTGCCATGGATTGGCTAATTGACAGTTTGCCTACTATGCACTGGGTACAATTTGGGTTTTGGTGCTGTTTGATGGGTTGTGGCAAGGTATGCAGGGAATAGGTTGCAGTGGGCACTTACTGGCACCTTCATGGTGATAAGCAGAAGCCCAATACCAACTTGGAGCATCAGGTGTGGATAATATTGGGTAGGGGGAAGTGTCTACACCCAGATGTAGCCTGGAAGAAGGGATCAAGAATCTAGAAGGCAAGCAGGCTGGCTGCACACTTGCAGATGTTGGGATGCTGTGGATTACCCTTAAATAAAGAGGCCCAAGTTTTACCCAAGTTGGAGTGTCCATGTATTCATTTCTGCCACCCCTTCTCTGCAAACCCACTATGGCAACAAAGGATACTCATCTTCAACGGAGTTCAAAGGCATGACCAACTTACAGTACAAGAAACAAGCCAACCTAACAATCAACACTTTGTAAAAATGGCTGACTATTTCACTGCTTTGTGGGCTTCCAGAAGAGAATGCCAGAGTGACATTTCGCTATTTTGTCGAGCTACAAATTACTTCAAATAACCACATTAAATAAATGTGTGAAGCATCCACTCTCTACATTTTCTTTGCTCAGAAATAAGCGGGCAGGCCTGGAAATGGATCGAGGTGACTTCCCTGCAGCCACTTCCCATGTGAAACCTTACCTGCTCTGAAATGGTTTCTTTCCTTCTTTTTTCAAAACTTCTAAATGCAATTTGAAAAGAGGGGCAGTGGGGTAGGTATTTAAAACTCTCCTCTGGGTGCACAGAGGGCCTGATCTGGATCAGTGCCCCTCACACTTGCTTGGGAGTAAAGGAAAAGCAAATGGCAGCTGCCTATTTGTTAGCCATTACATGTAGCTTGATGCCACAATGGCCTTTCTATCAGTGTACCCGGCAGCACAAACCTAGGAATAAACAGGAGGTGAGTCATTTCTGCAGCTCAGAAGCACCTCTTGCAAAATAGCCAGCATGCAAAGTCTCCCACTTTTGCTTCTTCTAGACTGTCCTCACTTGCTTCACCTTGGAACCTGCCTCTCAGAACCATATCAAAGCCCAATTATATACCACTTCCATAGTGTGGTAACTGCCACAAAACCACTCCTTCATGGGTTGGCTTCTGTGTTATCACTGCCATGAATCAAAGCAGCATCACCTGTGGGCACACCACATCCCATCAACTCTTTGATGTTGGAGGAGAGAACCTACAATGTAGCTCTGAGTTAAAGTTTATGTCTAGCTAGAAACTCCAACCTTGTGCTGTTCTTGTGTTTTACTTTCACTTTCCCCTTCAGTGCATTTCATTTTGTTCTTCAGCAAGCAGGTTGCAGTTGGGGACTTTGGCACTGTCTGTGAGTAGATCTGATTTCTTTTCAAAAGTGAGGGATGTAACACATATAATACAGGCCTCCGACATGGGAGAAATGTATATACTTCAGTGTGGTAACAGAGGAGGTAACCACAGAGAGTAGAGGGACAGGTGCAATGATACTGTTGAGGCTGACATAAGAGTGAGCAGGTACTCAGTAGAAAGAAGTCCAACCTCCAGGCAGGTCCTCTTCGTATTAGCATCCCTTTCATAGGGACAAGGTAGTGTAGTTTTACTAGGCTCCTGTCCTACCTTGCTTTGTATTAAATTAATATTAAACCAGAGAGTCCTGTTTTGGATGTAATGTAGAATTCTGGTTTTAAAACAACCAGACATGCCAAAGATACTGAGCAAGTGGGAGCAGGGATGGACAAGAAAGAATTGTGTGGTCGTGACCCATCCCCAGCTTCATAAATCATGGGTTCTGAAGGTAATATGGACACAAGATCTGTTACTTATGTTTTATAATAATACCTAGTTCTTCTTCCATTGTAGGCCCTTTATTCTGTGAATTGGAAACTCCAAGGACTCTGTTGAATAATATAGCAAATGCACTTCCCCAGATACCTGAAAAATGGAAATATCATGTAACATTTATATGATGATGATTAATGCTTTTGTTTCTGTTCAAAGCGTTTAATGCTGCACTAGAACAGGTCAGAAGAATCAGATGAATGGAAAATTACAAGTTAAAGGCTGCTGAAGATTCAGAGTTCAGGCTGAACACCAGATTTCATCCAGCAGACTTGGAAAATCAAAGCCTGCTCACACAACTTGGCACTGGTCATCACTGTGTTGTACACTGATATCCCTAGAACATTACCAGTTTTTAACAACCAAATGGTCCAAACTGTTCCTCTGTTCAGACAACAGACATGCAGAGGTAACATAAAGACTTACTCTGGGAGTAAGTTCAGGAATTCAACAACTGTTCCAACACTCTATTAAGACATTGCAGGAATGTCCATGGTTGAATTTTCAACTGAATGGCCATTGACAAGCCAGCTCCTTAAACATCAAGTGCTCCCTTTCCATTATGTGGTGATTTTGCTGACCTATGAGACAGGATTTGTTATGAGTCTCATCGAACTAATGTATATAAAGTGCATTGAGAACTAAAGACACATGGTAGATAAAAAGTAGGCATTAAATTATTATAAATGTTAGATTCTTTTATCCATGTTGCATATCATTTTGCCACATAATTTCCAGAAAAAAATCACCACTACTTAAAGCAAAGGGTGAAAAGTAGCACTCCCTGTTATATTATTCAATTTCTGACAACATTAAATTAATCACTTACCCATTAGGAAGTGCAACGGGTTCTCTTTATATTTTTGCACTACTGTTCCCATAAAAAATTTGCTGCCAAACAAATTGGGTGGCATGAACGTCCCATATTTAGCCATCCCAATCTCATAGGGACTGAATTCCACCCAGTCTGTAAATAATAATATACATTGATTAGTACAGACATTATACAGTGGTTACTACAAAACACTGGTTAGCACCAATATTGACCTGGTTCACCCACAGGCCTGGTTCACATGTAATGACAACCAAAATATGGTTTAATTATCAGTTGTCAACCACAGACAACCCAGGTTTGTGGCTAGATTGTGAACTTTGGGTTGTTCACAGTTATCAACCCATACTTAAACAATGGTGGAGCACCTTGTGTAATGACAACTTAAGATTCAGAGACAACCCATATTCTGGGTTGTCATGATGTGCAAACCCAGGTATTTTGCCTTGTTCAAAATGTGACTCATTGTGATTTCTGAATCAATGACTTGTTTCTACTGCTGCCTGCCCTGAATACAGTTACTGAACAAGCCCAGCCTAAAAAAGAAAACTGTTAGCAAAATGGGTAAGAAGGAAACAAACCAGAAATAGGAAAAACTGGTCTGTTTCTTTGTTTGTCTTCAAGACCATCTACAGCTAGAGGAACCTTGATTAACAAAAACTGTGGCTTAGTGTTAAGTGCAAATGTAGCCATTGATTTGCACAGAGCAACAACACTCAACAGGGCTGCCACTTGCAAATCGCTCCTATTTGAAGTATGGGTGACTTGCATTGAGCCTGTGGGAGGGCTGAGTGAGCATTTACACCATTCTTCCATTTCCCCCAGTGGCCACTGATGCAGTCTGTGTGCACAAGTAAGCAACACAAATACTTAGAATCAGGGGAGGCCACATCGATGACTGCTCTGCCCATAATGGACTGGAGGAAGTCCATGGTGTGGAAGCATTCACAGTTGACTTGGGTCTTTCTCCTAGACAGGAGGGGGGGTTGACTTTCAGAAGCACAGCTGTGTAAAAATTGTTTCCAAAATAATAAAAAGGCCTCACATTTTGCCCCTGATTCAGATGCTTTCATACACTTCTTGAACAAAGAAATTCAAACAAGACAACTATGGAAGGCAGGCTGTTAATGAGATTAGCATGGTTGTGCTTCCTCCACTGTGTTAAAACACAATGGTTTTATGACCAAGGTTCTGCAGTCTTCAATTTTCTTGAAACACTGAAGACCAAATGTAAGGACGCAAAGGGCCAAATGAGCCTCTGCAGGTAACGGCACCCCTAGAAGAACCTCTCCTGTAGATCTTAATACTCAGGTTCATAACAAGAAAGGCAGTCTCTTGATAGCCAGGTCTCAAGCTGCTTAGGGCATCTCCAGTTAAAAACGGACACCTAGTATTGTGCAGTCAGGGACGTGGGTCTGTAAGGCTGTCCATCTGCTCCAGATGTTGGTCTGAATTATAATGGATCTCTCCATAATGCTGAGCCCTGTCCCGAAAAGATGTTCAGCACCATGGATAGCTCCTTAAAAGTCTGAAGTGGAAGCTGAGGCAGATATACAACCTCCTTGACACCGGAGTCACAAAAGTGATGGTCAAACACTGTAGGTCCTTCAGGACAGGTGTAACTTGGTGCAAGCATGAAGACTTGAGCAAGGCTTAGGGAAACAAGCTATATTGGGCATTTGAGTGACAAGGCAAACTCTACATAGCTCCTTACTTCTCCCTCTTTGCCATGCTTGTCTATATTTTCAGCCACTTTCCTACTTGCAACAGGCTAGAGCAAGGCAGAAAAGGAATGCAGGGCTTCCACCAACCCTGCTGAGAAGCCTGGTCTACCAGGATTCACCTCTCCCCTGCAGCAAAGGGGGAAGTCAGAAGCATTTGGGTCTGCTGAGGGACCAGCCATTTTGGTTTCTTTTCCTTTTGAATGGTTTCCATTCCACTGGATGGGATAAATCCTGTATAATAGGCCCAGTTGGAAGAACCCTATATAACAGTATGAATTGTGGCTCAATATGCTAGTTTTTCTTCTTGCCCTGTCCTTTTTTGCTTCCATGCTATTTGAGACTCTATGGACAAGAATTGCCCCAAGTTAATTGATCTGGAAACCTTTCTGAAAAAAGCAGGGCATGCCTACTTTAAAACAGAGGTATGTAAAAATGTTTTAGTTCCCATGGGCTGCATGATGTGATCAGTGGTGAGTTGGGGGAGCCTACAGATTGGTGAAATGGCAGACCACTCCAGGATCTTTGCCATGAAAACCCCATGGACAGTACCAAAAGGCAAAAAAGATACGATGCCAGAAGATGAGCCCCTCAGGTTCCAATATGCTGCTGGGGAAGAGCAGAGGGCTAGTACTAGTAGCGCCAGAAAGAATGAAGCGAACTGGGTCAAAGCCGAAAGGACACTCAGTTGCTGATGCATCTGGTGGTGAAAGGAGAGTCCGATGCTGCAAAGATCTATACTCCAGAGGAACCTGGAATGTAAGATCCATGAATCAAGGCAAGCTGGATGTGGTCAAACAAGAGATAACAAGACTGAACATCTACATCTTAGGAATCAGTGATCTAAAATGGTCAGGAATGGGTGAATTTAATTCAGATGACCATCAGGTATACTACTGCGGGCAAGAATCCCTCAGAAGAAATGGAGTAGCCTTCATAGTCAATAAAAGAGTAGGAAAAGCAGTACTGGGATACAATCTCCAAAATGACAGCATGATCTCAGTTCGAATCCAAGGCAAACCTTTCACATCACAGTAGTCCAAGTCTATGCCCCAACCACTGGTGCTCAAGAGGCTGAAGTTGACTGGTTCTATGAAGGCCTACAGCACCTTCTCGAATTAACACCGAAAAATGATGTCCTCATCATCATGGGGGATTGGAATGCTAAAGTAGGAAGCCAAAAGATAACTGGAATAGCAGGCAAGTTTGGCCTTGGAGTACAAAATGAAGCAGGGCACAGGCTGGTACAATTTTGTCAAGAGAATACGATGGTCATAGCAAACATTCTTTTCCAACAACCCAAGAGACGACTCTACACATGGACATCACCAGACGGTCAACACAAAAATCAGATTGACTATGTGCTCTGCAGCCAAAGATGTAGACACTCTATACAGTCAGTAAAAACTAGACCAGGAGCTGACTGTGGCTCAGATCATGAGCTTCCGGTTGCACAATTTAGGCTTAAGTTGAAGGAAGTAGGGAAAAGCACTAGGCCACTCAGGTATGACCTAAATCATATCCCTGATGAATATACAGTAGAGGTGACAAATAGATTTAAGAAACTAGATCTGATAGACAGAGTGCCTGAAGAACTATGGGCAGAGGTTCGCAACATTGAACAAGAGGTAGCAACTAAAACCATCCCAAAGAAAAAGAAATGTAAGAAAGCAAATGGCTGTCTGAGGAAGCTTTACAAATAGCTGTGGAAAGAAGGGAAGCAAAAGGCAAGGAAGAAAGAGAAAGATACACCCAATTGAATGCAGAATTCCAGAGAACAGCTAGAAGAGATAAGAATGCCTTCCTAAACGAACAGTGCAAAGAAATAGAAGAAAACAATGGAATAGGGAGGACCACAGATCTCTTCAAGAAAATTGGAGATATGAAGGGAACATTTCATGCAAAGATGGGCATGATACAGGACCAAAATGGCAGGGACCTAACAAAGGCAGAAGAGATAAAGAAGAGGTGGCAAGATTACACAGAAGAACTATACAAGGAAGAGCTTAACATCCCTGATAACCATGATGGGGTGGTCACTGAGCTCAAGCCAGACATCCTGGAATGTGAAGTCAAATAGGCCTTAGGAAGTCTGAGCAGCAACAAAGCTAGTGGAGGTGACAGTATTCCAGCTGAGCTATTCAAAATCCTAAAAGACGATGCAGTAAAAGTGCTACATTCAATATGCCAGCAAATTTGGAAAACTCAACAGTGGCCACAGGATTGGAAAAGTCAGTTTACATTCCGATCCCAAAGAAGGGCAATGCCAAAGAATGTTCAAACTACCGAACCATTGCACTCATCTCACATGCTAACAAAGTGATGCTCAAAATCCTACAAGCTAGGCTCCAGCAGTTTGTGGACCGAGAACTACCAGAAGTACAGGCAGGATTTCGAAGAGGGAGAGGAACTAGAGATCAAATTGCCAACATACGCTGGATCATGGAGAAAGCTAGGGAGTTCCAGAAAAACATCTACTTCTGCTTCATTGACTATGCTAAAGCCTTTGATTGTGTGAATCACAACAAACTGTGGCAAGTTCTTAAAGAGATGGGAGTGCCAGACCATCGTATTTGTCTCTTGAGAAACCTATACGTGAGTCAAGAAGCAACAGTGAGAACTGGACACGGAACCACTGATTGGTTCAAAATTGAGAAAGGAGTTTGGCAAGGCTGTGTACTGTTGCCCTGTCTATTTAACTTATATGCAGAGCACATCATGAGAAAGGCGGAGCTAGATGAATCATCAGTTAAAATTAAGATTGCTGGGAGAAATATCAACAACCTCAGCTATGCAGATGATACCACTCTCATGGCAGAAAGTGAAGAGGAACTAAACAGCCTCTTGATGCGGGTGAAGGAGGAGAGTGCAAAAGTTGGCTTGAAACTCAACGTTAAGAAAACTAAGATCATGGCATCCAGTCCTCTCACTTCCTGGCAAATAGATGGGTAAGAAATGGAGGTAGTGACTGATTTTATTTTCCTGGGTTCCAAGATCACCGCAGATGGGGACTGCAGCCAAGAAATTAAAAGACGCTTGCTCCTCTGGAGGAAAGCTATGGCAAATCTAGGCAACATACTAAAAAGCAGAGACATCATCCAGCCAACAAAAGTGCGTATAGTCAAGGCGATGGTTTTCCCAGTTGCAATGTATGGCTGTGAAAGCTGGACCATAAGGAAGGCTCAGCACTGAAGGATTGAGGCCTTTGAATTGTGGTGCTGGAGGAGACTCCTGCGAGTCCCTTGGACCGCAAGTTGATCAAACTGATCGGTCCTAGAGGATATCAACCCTGACTGCTCTTTAGAAGGCCAGATACTGAAGATGAAACTCAAATACTTTGGCCTCCTAATGAGAAGGAAGGACTCCCTGGAGAAGAGCCTAATGCTGGGAACAATAGATGGCAAAAGAAGAAGGGGACGGCAGAGGATGTGGTGGCTAGATGGAGTCACTGAAGCAGTTGGTGTGAGCTTAGGTGGACTCCAGGGGATGCTGGAGGACAGGAAGGCCTGGAGGAATGTTGTCCATGGGGTTGCGATGGGTCGGACACGACTTCATGACTAACAACAACAACAACAGATTGGTGCGCAAGTGAACACACCCCCAGCTGCCCCTCTCAAACACACACATACCCACATAGGGTAGGGGGTGGAAGCAAGTAGGGCTCCCCAGGCCACAAGGACAGCTCAGCTTTTAAGGAAGCAGGCAAGCAAATATTGCAACTCTCTCAGGCTATTCCCACCCTCTTGGTATCTCTGCTTCCATCTTTTTGGACACTTCCATGAGTTTAACTCCAGCAACACACAGATTGCCTAAACATGCCACCTACACACCATGAGATGTTAGAAAAGATATCTATGACTAATCCTGAGAAGTAGGAAAATGAATTCTGATTATACCATTACTCAACGAGTCTAGACAAAGTTCCAGCAGGTGCCAAAGTTGAGCTTTTGTTCTTGTCAATAATTCATATGTATCCTTTAAAACCCTGTGACTTCATAAAAGTTTTCCAAAAATAAATTATCTTCATAACAATTATGTACTGTTCTAGGCAGTAAAATAAAAATATGATGGATAATATGACTTCAGAGTGAAAACACAGAAAATTAATAGCAGCTGGCTGGAATTTTGAACCTCTGGTTTTCAATAGAAAGTCGCTTGAACCCATTTACAAAACTAACAGGAAGGAACACAGCCACATTTACTCTAAAATCTACAGATAATATCATGAAAGAACTTGTTGTTTCTCTTTTATGATGTGCTTTTGAGTCTGTGGTAGAGATGTTGCAAATGGGCCATGTCGAAAGAACTAAGCTGCTAACAGTGGTGAGATAATGGAAGGGAACGGTCTCACGGACTTCCGCCAATGTCTTCTGGAACATGGAATCATTCACATGTTCAGCTCTGAGGTCAGAGACAGTTTTCTGATGGCGAAGCTGAGAAGTGAAGCTCTGTCCCTCATCCCTTCAGAGCTGGAACGGAAAGAACCATTGAAGTCTACCTCGAGAAGGGACTAGGATGTGTATTTTGGCAAACAGGAAGGAGACTAGAGTGCTAGGATATGAGGTAGCCTAAAGCCATTCCAGCCCCCTTCCCAAAGCACCCAGCTAGACAGGAAAAGGTCCACCTAGTAGAAATACAGGGCAGGAGGATGGGAAGGTTTTCTCTGCTGCTCCCTGCTGCTTCTCCAGTTCTGCCTTGGATTACTGACACGCCTCTGAGTTCAGGGCTCTGCAGGCAACCAAAATGACTGGCCCTTAAATGCAGCATTAGTTGAAATATATCTGGATACTCAATTATTTTTTGCTACAATATGATCTGAAGGGAATCATCCAAAAGGCAGAACAGCAATAAATACATATTTGGAATGCAAAGTTGAATGGTGATACAAAAAGATCACAATTCCAGCACACTCTAACACAGGGATAAGAACCTTTTTCAGTCCAAGGGTTAACTTCCATTTCAGAGGCACTCAGAGGGGTTATATTCTAATGCAGGGTGTGCCAAAGGACTTAGGAACAAGGCCAAAAATATCAGCATAATGTATCATAAGTCCCTGTTAGGCAATAAGTAAGTCCTTGGAGACCCTTTCCCCCTTTTCGAACTAGAAGAAACAGCGAAAAAGCTAGAAAACCAACAAAAGTGGTCAGGGAAGGCAGGCATGATCAGGGGAAAGGGACCGAGCCATGCTGGGAGCCCCAGGGGGTCAGACTGGGACTCCTGGTGTGTCAGATTTGGCCCCAGGGCTGAGGTTCCTCACCCCTGCTCTAACATCATGCGATGAACTGAAATGTAGAACAGGAACCTGCAGACTTGGCTGCTTCCCATTGACGTCTATGGAGAAGAGTAAACAAGCTACCTGCTAGATCATAGCCATATGGAGACAGAATCTGACCTTCAGCCCAGACACAGCATCAGCAGGAGCAAGGGACAGGCTTAGACCCACCTGAGGATGTCCCTGTATGACTGAATGTCTGATCTTTCTTCACTGGGGGAAATAAGACACTGCAACAGGACAGCGGAGTGAAAACTGACCCACAGCATCAGGCAGGCAGTCCACTCATATGAGTCCAGCTAGTCCAAAATGTGCAAGAGGTGTCCAGGGTCAAAATCTGGTCACAGCACAGGTCATGCAACTGGCTCCAAGCAGGTGTTAAACAGCACACCTACTCCGCATAACAAAAGATGGCATTACGCCAAAGATGGAGGAGAAAAACTTACCTGCAAACATCAGTTCTGATACATCAGGCTTAACATGCAGACACGTAAACAGTGGCAGAGGATTTTGTGCCTTGTTGATTTTCTCCTTCATTTCAGACAAAGTGGTATCCATATTCTACAGGAAAGCAACAACAGAAGTTGGAGGCCCAGCTAGCAGAAGATGGCTTTTCTGAAGTTGTCCAAGAAGACAAGAGGTCAACAGAATTGCCTACAGAAAAACTGTGAACTGATATTTTTAAAGGTAAGCTATGGGGCAACCGTATCAGCATCTAAAATATCCTGACCCAGGGAGAAGCCAAGTCACAGGTGCACCACGGGAGCTTGGTTCAGAGAGTAAATGCAGAGTTTCTCAAGGCCTTACTCAATCTTACAGTCTCACAGAAGTCAGTCTTGAAAAGCAAGGAGGTACGTCTTCCTTGATTGCTTTGGATGAATGCAAGGTGCTTTTACCAGAAATAGCAGAGTCCTAGTTTCACCAGAAACAGTACTTGAGACTCCAAGCTTAGCAATATTTGTCCTGGCGTAAGTTCCACCAAACGCTAATGTAGGGATATTGGCAAAATCTTCAATAGGCTCAAAACAGATTGCATTGCCAAGAATCTGATCCCTGCATTCCACGGGGAACTGACTTTTTGAGGATCCTGTGTGCAGGTCACTAGTTGCCCACAGACGTTCTGCAGGATTTGCCACAGGACCACAGGATTAACCTGCCCCTTTCTCTAATATTAGCACAATTTTCACAGCTGCTAAACAGGACTCACATCTTTAATAAGTGTTTCTCCAATCAACATTCCAAAGATATCTGTGAAGGTAACGGGCTGTCCAGACCTCTTCTTTTTCCACAAGGATTCAATGTATCTCTTGACTTTCTGAGGTGTAAGCAGCTTTAACGGGTTGTGGCTGACACTGTTTCTCAATTCTTCATTGATCTCTTTTGGCCCTTTCACTGGGAATTCTGGGTGCGAATACAGTGTTGACATGTACCTGCAAATGAAATGAAAGCAACTTTTTTCAGACAGTTAAGAGGTCCCAAGGATGCTTGCAAGAGCTTCAAAATGTTAGAAGGACAGAGCAGCTGAATGACAAGTTGTTTATCAATGTTTTGTACTAAAATCTGCTTAGCTTTTCAAGATGGCTGACAATAGTCCTCTAGAGTCTGAGGGGAAGATCCTTCCTATCATTTGATACCTTCATAGTTTTCACTAGTGCAGCTAGGAATGGAATCTAGGACCATTTTGATGCAGTGTACATGTTCCACCATTGACCAACTGCTCCTCCAGGCAAGCCAAAATTCACTGGGATAGTTATTGTTCAGCAAAGTATCCTGAGTAACAACATAACTCGCTGGAAAGGTCAAATCAGACAAGCATCTTTCCTGTTATTGTTTACCCCCAGCTCCTAATGACTAAAACTGAAACCAAGCAAGCTTTCTTGGAAATGTATGGTCACCACCAAGAACCGTAGCATCTTAGCACCTGACAGTCACATCTAGAATGGGCCCTATGGCAGCTGAAGATTGCACTTGATCTGTGTACATTTTATTTGGCAGACGGGCCAAGGGCAAGTGACACAGACGAGTGCCTTTACTATCAGTGTTCTAAGACTTTACCGTTCCACACTATTATGTTTTTGATTTCATTAGGTGACTTGTGCTTTGAAAAAAATAGATATAAATAAATCTAAGGCGGGATACACATGTAATAAATAAACAAACAAGAGCAGCATGACTTCATCATTCTGCGTATTTTTTCCTGATGCACATGTTTACCTGGACATTCCCATCATTCCTGGAAAACCCATACCAGGACTTAACTGCCTTTGCTTTATTATATGTAGCATTCGTGAGAAAGGAGAAAAAAATTGATTTGTCCTACTGCAATCACATGTCTCCAGTATTCTGACCCAATTTGCTCTCAGTGAAGAAGATTCACTGTCAGACATGTCTTGCGAAATTCTCAAAGGGTGGGTTGAATGAGAATGTTGTGACTGGCACATGGGCACATGTTCCATTCACCAGATTCATTTGATTGGAAAGCCTTGCTACATATTTGCTGAAAAATTCAATGTAGATCTAGGGAACATGAGATTACTTAGCTGAACAGTGTTTATGAATAACAGTGCCTTTGCTATTCAAAATGGGATGCAAAAAGAGCAAGAATAATATCCTTTGATGTTGAAGATGCATAATTATTATGTAGATGCATAAAAACAGCAAAAAAAATCCTGAATAAAATAGCATAACTGGAAGGCACCTGGTTCCTGATATAGTTATGCTTCCAGGCAACTAGCCATGAGTAAAATGGTGTTCTACTATAGTCCATTATTCCCTTTAAGTATATGGCGATATCTTCCTTCAAATGACTTTGCGATTTGGTACATGGACATTTCTAAATGAGGAAAAGCTTAGAAGCCCAATTATTGCACAGTACCCATTGCTGATTCAAGCAAGGCGTTAGAACGTTTCATTATGGAAGGTTCCACGCTGAGACAGTTGTTTGCCTCTCTGTTCGGTTCTTACACAGAATGTTTTTGCAAGAAAAGCAAAGAGCTTAGTCTCTGCTTTCTCAGCTGCGTACAGGAAAAGACAGAGCTTGATGTTAGGCTACAGACATCCTATGTGTCCTGTCCAATTTATTCCAATGAGTCTAACAATGTTGAAGACAAAAGAGAGAGCTCAGTTGTGAGAAGGATCAGTTCCCTCAAGGAAGCCACAGGCTTGACTTTACAAGAGCTGAGCAGGGTTGTTAAAGACCGGAGATTTGGGAGAGCACTCATTCATGGGGCCATGATAAGTCGGACACTTGACAACATGTAGCAACAACACTATATGTAGAACTAACATTGGATATACTTCAAGTCATAGAAACTCAGTAACATCTCTAGATTAAGGCCATCAGATCCATAATTCAGCAAAACGATTATGGATGAATACAACAGATTTTCATTACTAATCTGTGACAGATTGAAAAGCAAAAAAGGAAAGCAAAACAGAAAGTACTTGGAAGCAAATATGCAGCTGATCAAAACCACATTGGCATGCCCAGTTTCACACGTAACATTTACCTTCCTGTTTCCGTATCCTGTGTAAGCTTTCCCCATGTTCACAAACACCTTGCTGCAGAAAGCACAAGTTTGTGCAGAAGCTCTTAGACAATATTGAGGCTGTTTCTGAACCAAACAGGTTAATTTGGGGAGGACTTCATGGCAGGACAAATTGAGCAAAATGAATATAGGCTACAGTAGTATTAGCATCATGGAATCATAGAAGAGTAGAATTGGAAGGGACCTATAAGGCCAATGAGTCCAACTCCCTGTGCAATGCAGAACTCCAAATAAAATGATGGAGGGCTGACACCTGCCTCTTGAATGCCTCTAGTGTGGGAGAGCCTCCAAACTCCCTAGGTAATTGCTTGCTGTTCTGCTGTAACAGTTAGGAATTCTTCCTAAAACCTAGCCCTAATTTGGCTTCCTGTAACTTATTCCACGTCCTGCAGTCTGGGATGAGATCCTGTATTTTCCCCTTGTGACAAACCTTCAAGTATTTGTGGAGTGCTATCATCTCTCCCCTCGGTCTTCTCTTCTCAAGGCTAAACATGCCAAGTTATTTTAATCTCTCCTCAAAGGGCTTTGTTTCCAGTTCCCGGACCACATGTGTTGTCCTCTGAAAATTTTCCAGTTTGTCTGCATCTTTCTGGAAGTTTCATGCTCAGAAATGGACACAGAACTCACAATGGGGCCCAGCTAGTGCTGAACAGAGGAAAACCTTACATGATTTGAAAGCCATTCTTCTATTAATGCAGCCCAAACATCAGCTGCCTCTTTGCAGCCACATCACACTGTTGGCTCATATTCAGCTGGTAACACTTCCAACAGTAGAAAAGAGATTTCTGTAAGAGCAGGGCCCCTAATTCATATTGGAATCCTAAGATGGCGGGTGGTAGAGACTTTTACCCATCACCCTCTGGCCCACCACACACATGGTGGCTCCAGCCCAAGTCAGGATCCCTGGATCTGCAACAATATTGCCAAATCTTCAGCTAACACTTAAATGAATTGCTATTTCGCAACATAAATGGCAGGTGGGTCCCCAGCCGTGCTCTGCATCATTCACCAGATGCGGTTGCTTAAGACGCAGTTGCCTGCTACATCGGTAGTGCGATACCGGTTTTGCCCTTCCAGATCATCAAGAGGTGAGGCTTTAAAAACAAACTTGCCATGTGGATCCAGATAATCCAGCAATGTATGTCGCACAGTCTAACACTCCAGATTCGTAGAGGGCCTTCATCACTCCAGCAAAACCCACCGTGGCACGAAATCCACCGCCAGATCCTAATATTGCAATCACTGGGACCTGGAGAAACATACAGTAAGGATCCGTGTTAAAACATTTGCTGCTGGGGTCAAAGAACACCTTATAGGGTTACTTTTTGAAGCAAGGCTTGAATGAGGTGAGGAAATTTACAAAGGCGAAGCAGGGCAGGAACTGTGTCACTTTTCTTTTTTACCCATACTGCTCCTCCACTGCCTTAAGGGTGCCTTTACCCTCCCCAGGTTTCAAAAGACATTTTCATTAAAAATCTGAAACCCTTTGAAGAGATCCGCTGCATGGATATGGGGGCCCAGGGGAAGGCCTGCAGCAAGGAAACAGGTGGTGGGGCACAGGTGAGCTCCCTCCTCCTTACCATTTGCTTCCCACTGAAGCAAGATCTTTTGAACACATGGATGCATGATTATATGTGTGTACTTAAGTTCTTCCTCTGCACTGCCCATGAATATTCTGAGCCAACCATTTTTTCTAATAGTAAAACTATTACTAGTTTTCTAATAGTAAAACTATTCAGTAAACTAGTTTTAGACATCCAGAATGGTCATCATATTGATAAAACTGTTTACTGAAATTCCTCTCCTTCTACTGACCTAGCTTATTTTCTGAATCAAACAGAGCAAAAAAGAAAACACAAGAAATAATTCACCTCTGGAGGACCTCAAAAGGTTAGTGAGTCAGTGAGAAATTCCATATTTCAGACAACTGCCATGAAAAGCTATTGTGCTAGCATTGTTCATCCAACAAATGCTTCTGTACCTTTGGCTAAGGTCAATTAGTTCCTCCAAAAAGGAACACATTCGTAAATGAAGAAACAAAAATCCTGACATTAAGCCTTTTCTGCAGGAAAAGCAAGGTTATCTGTAAGAAACTATTTTTAAAAGAAAAATAAAATTAAGCTAAACTATTTATTTATTATTTATTTAAAACTTTTCTATGCCATCCACCAATGACATCTCAGGACAGCTTACAATGATCAAGAGTTTTACAGGATATGTTGATACAAGAATCCCCAACAGGGTAGGCCTAAGAGCAGAAGTCCTCTCATGTCCAGTGGCTACATAAGCAGGGGCACCTGTACTGTGCTTTAAGCTTTTGTATGGTCTGATGTTATACACTCGGGCTCACTACCACAAAATGGCTCCCATGGAGGATATGGCTAGTCACCTAACAGCTGCTCTGGGAGCCTGACTAATCCTGAGGTTTGTAGGAAACAGGAGAGAGCAAGACTGGGACTGGGAAGGGAAAATGGAAAGAGTGCCCTCCAGCCCATCCAATTTTCCTCTGTCTAATCATCCATCCTTTTTCCTCCCTTCCTTGCTCAACCCTTCAACACTCCCAGCCTCTAGATTTGCAATTTCTCTCCCCCAACCCCATCCCCTGCTATCTCTTTTTATTCCCTCTTCCTAGCCTTCTTCCTTCTCTTCTTCTTAGCCTCAGATCTTGCTCCTTCACACCCCACAACTTCTTTACCTCACATTCCCCTTTTCCCCTCCCCTCCGCCCCTCTGTCTTGCCTTCTCTTCCTGCCCACTGAGCTGCTGATCAGCAACAGGTTCAGAATTAGGTTGGAGAACCTGGCACATTTTTCAATTTTATTATCCATTGCTTTTTATTCTTAAGAGGGAGGAAGCCAAGAGCTGTGTGGGCACCACTGGAGGTCCCATGGGTGCCATGCTGCCCAATGCCTTGGGGAACCCTGCTATGCATGCTTCCTAGGATATTTACTTCAGCTAGCTTACCAGGGGACATTCCCATAGCAGGCCTCGTTCTCACAGTTGAAGTACTGATCTGTGTCTTGACTGAATCATTTCATAAACTGGTGGCAACTCATACGTTGCAATAAAGATAAAGCTGTGCACACACATTAACAGCAGTCCTACATGGGCTTACACAGAAGTTGCACCATGCTCACTGGAGCTTTCTTCTAGGGAAGCATGCGCTGGATTGAGTATTATTAAAATTCAGCTGTTTATAAGAGCTTCAGCTATGGAGCAGCATAGAACGGAATGGTAATGATAACTGTGCTAAATATACCAGTTATTCCAGACCTACTAGAAATAAGCAGGAAGATGTGCTAGGGTTCAAGCAACTCACACCCAAGAACATGTCATTCTGCATGTCCACCTTCCTCCAGTTTGGTGCCCTCCGGATGTTTTTGACTGGAATGCCGAGCATTCCTGACCACTGGCCATGCTGACTGAGCCTATTGGGAGTTGACGGACACCAGACTGGGCAAGTTTGCTGAAGATGTTTTTCAATATTTACTTACTTTATTACTGTAGATGATCTACGGTAGCGCCTAAATTCAAATTAAGTCATGAGCAAGAAGGGCAATCTAAAAAAACAAACCCTTAATTCTTTATCTTACCCATCAGTAGACTGTAAATTAAAGGCTGCTGAAGCTGAAAATATGCATTTTTACAAAGCTCCTCATTATGGACTTAATGAGGTGAAATAGCACAATATACACAAAGATCACCATCTGAAAACAGGTTGGAGTCAAGGGTCACTCCCTCTAGTATTTCAGTCTTTCTTATCTATGCTTCAGATGGATGGAAACATCAACTCTTCAAATTATTGCCTCACGAATACAAATTAATCATATGTAAAAATGCATTATATGGGAAACAGAAACATAGAAAAGCCCTGCTGGATCAGACCAAAGTTCATCTAATCCAGCATCCCATACACATGGTGGCAACCAGCTGCTTACAAAACCACTCAAGCAGGATGGGGTCCCCCTTTGCAAAACAAACAAACAAGGAAACAAAAAGATACCCACACAGCATATAGTGGAAATATGTCCAGATGGAAGGTTATAAGGATAGGTTGAAGCTACATGGGGGGACAGGTCCCAGATGAAACTTCCTAACTTGCATGACTCTGGCCTATGAGTCTTCCTTTTGCCCTTCTCTCATCCTTTTAGATGTTCTTTTTCTGATCCTACTTTCATCCCAGACGTGCCTTGGAACTCAACTGGGCTTGCAGCCTGCAGACTGTTGTTCATTAAGCCCTAATTCATTCCTGGGGAAAAGTGTGACTTTGTTGAGGAAGGTCAATGCCGTGTTTTACAGACAATTCCTGAATTCTAACCCCAGGTGGAACTGCAGCGCTGGAGGGTAACTAGCATAATATTGAAGAAGGCCATGAGCATTCTTGTAAAGAGGATCTATTATAATGGTAAATTACAGCCTAGTAAGTCCACAGCCTAGTAAGTCCACAAGGGAAGCTCCTATGGCCCCTGAATGTTGTCTGAGGAGATGCAGGATAGATTCTGTTCCAAATCCAGGGTCAGTAGGGGACGGTAACTCTGTTCTCACTTCATAGATGGCATGGATAAAACCACCCTGGCTGGGAAAGTGACCTCAGAGAGTGACCTCAGAGACCTCAGAGTAACCTCAGAAGGGAGGTTACTGGACCAGCCTAAGCTATGAGATATCCTGATGCTATCGCAGCCTCCAGCTTCCTCTAAAAGCTCCTACTAGATTGGAAAAGTGGCCCGTCTAAAGAAAATGTGGAGCAGGAGAACAGAAAGGCAGAGATCACTTCTTCACTGAATGTGCATAAGTCTCTGAGTTTGGGGCTTGTGGTCCTCTCAATAGGCTTAGAGCAGAAATTTAGAGCACAAACCTATGCACGTTCAGCTGTCAGTAAGCTGCATATTTCAATGGGCTTTCCAATATAAAGTACATAGGACTGCAGTTATAATTATAATATTTAGTACTTACACAAGTTTGGGGGGGGTTTGAAGTACATGCATGATTTTGTTTTAAATCTTGCATCAAGCCAGTGTTACAATCCCCAACTTGCAAAGTGGGAGCTGTGCCTGGTGGCACCTGGAGAGAGAAGGTGAGACCTGAAGTAGGGCAGTTCCAATTCACAGCCTCCCTACTCCCACCGCAATCCAGGAGGTTTCACTGGGGAGGCTGAGAAGGTCACTGCTAGACTCAAGTTAAGGCCACATAAGGCAGCCGGGGCAAGGTGTTGAACCGGAAGTTAGCTCAGATGCCCTCAAGAGAGGAATGCACCTGTTGAAGGGCCTGTGGGCTAGAAGTAGTCACCAGCCTGATGATCAGGCAAACAGAAAAGAAGCAGAGAAACAGGAAATTCTGGGTAACACTGCAAACAGTACAACAAATTGTACCTGCCACAGATGTTACATGAAGTCTGGTAAAACTGTGAAAGGCACAAGAGGGGGCAAGCAGGGCAGGTTCATGCACAGAAATGCTTGATTGATTTTATTCCACAAATGCGTTTGTCGATCTTCAGCCAGCGATCACAGAGTGGCTTACAAAATAAGATATAAAACCAGAGCACTTAAAAAATCTCCAAGCATAAAATGATCATAATCATAATAGACTTGGACAATTAAAAATGTTCCACTTGGTACCAAATAAAACATAAAGGTAGTGCAAGGGAAGCGTCTTTGAGGAAGAAGTTTGTGAACGGGGTACATGGGGTGAGGTCGAACAAAGCTGGATGGACTAATCAGAATGTACAGGCAGGTTCGTACAGGAGAAGGTGGGCTGCCATGGTCCCGTTTATATCAGGTGTGTCAAGCCCTGACAATAAAACGTAGGGAGAGAATAAGGCTTCCCACAACCACAAGGCATCCTTCTTCCAGCGAGCCAAGCCTCCTTTAATGCAGGGGCTGCTTTAAACAGGAGCACCGTGTTATTTAGCAATGATCCACCCACATTATGCATGGTGTGTTTCTCAGACAGCATTTAAACTCTGAAAGCTCCTTTCAGACATTGACTAATTGATCTATAAATGCAGATCTGAACAGGAAGAAAGGGTGGAGAAGACTGTAAACACAAATCTGGGAGTGAAGACATCCTTGAGAAATCATTACTCAACAAGCCATTAATGAGTAAAATGGTCAGGCGAGTCCCAGTCTCTTTTCAGAAAGAAGAAAGTTAGGTTTCATTGAGTTCTCAGACATATACATGGAGATGACAAAAGGTAGGCCCACCAGGAGTAGGACAGAAGCAGATGTTGTAGACAACAACCTAAATATGAGCCCGCAATTTGAGCCAGGCACAAAAAGGCAAATGCTATTTTGGGGTGCATATATTGAAACGTCACATCAGAACAAGAGAGGTACCAGTTTCCCTTTATTCTGCACTAGTCAGACCTCCGCTAGAATACTGGGTTCAGTTCTGGGCACCACAGTTTAAAAAAATGCATGGAAACTAGAAAGGGTTCAGAAGAGAAGGGCAACCAAGATGATCCAGGGTCTGGCAAACAAGCCCTATGATGAGAGACTGAGAGAGCTGCACATGTTCAGCCTGAAAAAGAGAAGACTATGCGGGGAGATGATAACTCTCTGCAAGTGCCTCAGAGGCTGTCTCAAAGAGGAAGGAAAAGATCTCTTCTTATTCATTGGGTGTAGGACACAGAGCAACAAACTTAAACTGCAGCACATCAGATTCAGGCTAGACTCCCGGAAAAACTTCCCGTCAGAGCAATACGACAGTGGAAGCAGTTACCAAGAAAGGTCATGGGGTCTTCCTTACTAGAGACATTCAAGGTAAAACTGGACCATCATCTGAGTGGGATGGTGTGACCTGGCGTCCTGCACAAGCAGGGGGTTGGACCTGATGGCCTCCTTGGCCCCTTCTGACCCTAAGGTTCTAACAATCTATGAATCTAGGTATGGGTAGATCCAGGGCTCCTAAGGAAAGAGAGGCCTTCTTTAAAAAATCCCCAAAGCCTTCACCCAACCATAAGGGCCCCCATCAGAAACAAGACAGGTGAGGTGACATGATCAGCACCAGTGGCCACCCACATCATGTTGCACCCTGGTGTTGCAGGCCCAACACCACACTGGGCTCTCCCACAATAGCTGGTAACATGGAATGGAAGGAATGGATGACCTTCGAACAAGCAGAACTATCTCCCCTCCTTTCCCACTGTGTATCCGGGAAGCCAACGTTCATGCAAGAGCGACAGTCAGCCATACAAGAATTTCCTTTCATTAACCAACCAGAACACCCAGCGCACCCTACAGTGAATGGCTCTTCCTTGAAATCTGGTGAGGTTTTTTGCTAAGCAGAGAGGAAGTTGCATGGCAGGAAGAAGGGAGAGGGGTGCAGTCTATCCCCGCAAGTGGCAAAAGTGGAGAAACCCATAACTGATGGGTCAGTTAAATGCACAGTGCAGGGACCTGTGGCAGGAAAGATGTGGGCAACCCCAATTCTCACCCCAAAATATACAGAAAGTCTGGGAGAGAAGCAATTCTGAATACTCAGTGAGAAGGTCCATGCTCTTGCCATTAAAAACCTCCATGCTCTTCCCACCATCTCTCCACTCTTTGCTTGCAAATATATGTTCCACCCCATAACCTTCACTGCTGCACTTTACCACTCTATGTTTCCAGTGGAACGAGCAAACATCCGTTCTCTCTTGTGTCCTGTGCCATTCTGTCTTGCTGTCTCTTATGCCTGTAGTGGCAAACCCTCCCAGGGGGCCACCTCCACCTCTTTCTTGAAAACCCTCCTTTCAAGTCACAGAACCTTTGGCTTCACTGCTCAGACCTCATCCCTAGCTGAAAGCAAGCCTAAGAATACACCGCTGTGTCCGTTCCATGTGGTTTCTGGTCCCCATTTGTCCTTTCCATCTTTTGACTGTCACCCTTGCCTCGCCCTTCCCTTCCCCTTCTCGTCTTCCCGGCTGTCAAACATTACACTGTAAGCTCCTTAGGGTGGAGGCCTGTGTTGGTTTTGTTCTCTTATGTTGTCTCTGTGAAGCAACTTGTACGTTTATGATGCTGTATAAATAATAATGACCTGCCAATGTCATTCCCTCTGGCACATCTCTGATAGTAATTTGGCTTTGGTGGATTGACTTGATTGCCTTACAGAGCAGAATCATGCAAATAACGCCAATGCAGAGTTCCCTTGATAGTGGCATCTTCCCAACCCACTACATCCCTTAAGAGCATAATAAAAGCCACGCTGGATCAGACCTATGGTCCATCCAGTCCAGCACTCCATTCACACAGCTGTACACAGGATCCCTCAAATAGGATGGGTGCAAGAGCTCTGCCTGCCCAAGCTCCTCAGCAACTGCTGTATGCAGGTATGCTGCCTCTGATAGCAGAGGTAGTCCATAGCCATTGATGGCCTCCTTCTCCGTGAATTTGTCCAATTCCCCTTTAAAGCCATTCAGAATCGGTGGCCATCACTACTCCCTGTGGCAGGGAATACCATAGTTCAGCTGTGTGTTGTAAGAAGCAGTACTTTTCTTTAGCCATCCTGAATCTCTCACCTATCAATCAAGCTATATCTATCTATCTATTACATATATATGCTGCCATACAGCTCAGAGGCTCTGTGGCCTGCTTGCCCATTTCATGGGATGACCCTGGATTCAGGGATTATGGGAGACCAGCATCTCTAAATTTGGGGGACTGCAATTACCTGTTCAACATTAGGAATGAGATTCCCTACAAACTGAACTAAGATTCTCATTCTCCTTATTCTAAAACACTAAAAAGAGGTGCGGCGGGGGAAGGACAATAATTTAAAATTGAGATTAAAATCAAGATCCAAGTCTTAAACTTTCAACTGCTACAGGAGAATTAGCATCTACTCCAGATTTCGCAAGGGACAAGGAATACTGATGAATAAACACTTGAATAAGAAACTGCAGAGATACGGAGAGCTGAAATATAAAAGGTCACGAAGTTGCAAAACCTATTAAAAATACGTGCTTCGACTGTTAAAAGACTGCCTTTGTCGCTCAGCTTCGTCGCTCTACAATCATTTGCTCAGGAAGTTGGAACTGGGATCCACTTTGAGCAAGAACTATTGACCCAGGCCTCCCAGACTTACATCACGAACAGAGGTCAAGTCAGCCCCCAGGAACTTGTTCAGATGGTGCATTATTCTGCTCTTTCGCTGCTGTCGGAAAGCCTTCTCTTCATCGCAAAGAGCCATGCTGAACCGGAGATCTGTCGAAGAGCTGTTGGACAGAAAGCAGCCAAGCTTTTATGCAATCAGGGGGACAGCTTGAACCAATAATAAACTATTCAGGCTTCCATTCACTTCTCTATGCATAAACCAAGTCCTGAAATATATTTTTGCATGCCAGAAGGACCAAAGGAAGTCACACGAGCTGCTTTTCCCTTGTGCCAGGAGTTGACATGAAAGACCACCACGAGACAACCCAATGGACAACAGAAACGATTCACTGAAAAATCTTCCTGCTAAAATTAGTAGGGGTTTTATACCACACCAATGTCTTTCAATAATCCATGTTTGGTTTCATTCACCTGCTCACTGAACCTCATTCCAAGAAAAATAACCATGAGCTTGAGAGTAATCTAGGCACCACACAAGTTTCACTTTTGAAATGTGTGTTTCTCTGTGCATAAGCACACAAAGATGCACACATGCACAAATGCACTTCATGGGATTAAACATTAATTAAAATTGTATTTTGCATTCGGCTTGAGAAATGAACCTTTCCAATGAGAAGTGATGGAAGGTACAGGAGATGAGGGCTTTTCTCAAACCTCCAAAACCACCAGCTGCTCACTGCCCCACAAAAGTTTGATTTGAATTATCTTTCTTTCTAAACTTGCATACAACCATTTAGTCACTCAACTGCACCCATTCTTCTTTCCTGATTGCTCCCTAAAACACTGTTCTACAAGTCAGGAATTTCCTGATTCAAGTCTCACATCTGCCATGGACTTAGTGGGTGGTTTCCTGTTCTAAGGAGGACAACAAAGTAAGGTACATGACATGTTTTGGACTCTAGAAATGCTGATAATTAACATCAATTATAACTGGGCCCAAAGGTAGTGGCTTGGCTCCCTTCTGGGGCTAGCTGAAGGCACCATATTAAAACTAAACATGAGGAATTCGTTCATTACTCTTTGCTGGCTTTATTTTTAACTTGATTGGAGGTTTGATATTCTGTCCATTGTTACTATTTTGATGGGAAGCCTGTTTCAGAGGCTGGGCTGGTACAGGACAGTAGAAGGCAGGATATATATATGTATTTATGTATATATTTAAAACAAAAGACTTAAACAAATATTTAATTTAACACAAATGGGACAAAAGAAAGGCTATGGAGCAATCTCAACAGCAGACCTCGCTGTGTGCTGCATTCCACAACCTGCTGCAGGGAAAGGGGTAGCCCTAATATTTAAGTATAATATGTAACATTAACAATACACATGCATGCATGCACCTGAACAATATTTAGGGTACCTATAAATCCATATGAGGTGTACAAAGCCTCTAAATAAAATTCTGATTTGCAACCTGGCCCACTTGCATTGGCAACAGAGGGTATCTCACCTATTTTGCTTAATATGGTCCACTAAACAAGGTGACCATACAAAGTAAAATGAAAATTACTTATCTCCAATTCCTAAAAATAGATGAAACTTCAATATTTTGTCTCCCAGGAAGCAGCCAAGTTGGAAGTCCAAATGTACTGTCATAAGTTCTAAGATCACCCTTCCTGCACCTCACTGTCTGATGCTCTGAAACCCAAGATCCTACTCAAGCAGATAATATGTAACTAGCATTTACATTTAGAGTGTTTTCATTGACAAGCCTTTGTATGTGCATCTCCGATGCTGCCTTACTTTCTGCCCTCATTCCACCTCTTTTCCCCAAATCAACTGCTACAGGCAACTGTCTTCCTTGTTTTTAAATGGTATTTCTTTGAAATTTATCACTCAAATCCCCATTTGCTAACACTTCACTGGCATTGTGCCATACTCTGTGTTCTTGGGATTTTCCACAAACTTCTGTGCCCTCTGAGCTTTGCGGACATAAAGCTAAGCCTCCATTTTGTGTCACACTTCTAGAGCTGGGCTTAAGGATTCGTGGCAGTAAGTCTTCCAACCCTCCCAAGGAGCAGGATGACCCATTATAGACTCTGTTGGCAATCAGCTGGTTTATCTTGGCGGGGAGAGACTCTTTTTGGGTGAGAACTCTTACAAAAAGGGAGTCTGCTGGTGGAGTCTTCCTCCACCATCTGTCAATGTGTCCCTTTCTTGATGACCTTAAAACACATTCTCAGACCTACATCATTTGCCTCTTCCTTTCTTTTTATCTTGCAACACCCTTCCGTCAAGGCTTGGCCAAGAATGACAGATAATAGCAAAATATGACTTTGCATAATTGCCATCATTCTTGGCAGAGCTCACTTTGACTTCGGGCAATTCGTGACAGGAAAGCTGGAATTCATGGAAACAATAAAAACCTGAATCTCTGTTTAACTGTGTAGAAAAAAACTGAATTAACCAGTTGTGCCTTTTGCCAAGTCAGCACTAAACTTCTCACAGGAAAGAACACCAAGAAATTACTAATTATGACTTAAAATTGTGTAATTCATCGTGAACAGTGAGCAAATTAAGTTGCAGAAGTTTCGTTTTGGTTTTGTTTTGACAATTCTGTTATAAGGAGAATGTCCAGGGGTCATTCAAGTATTTTATTACAGAAATGAAATAGAGAAACCAAGTATTTTATTACATAATTACCCATCAAGTGCACACCTACTGATAAAAATCTTCAAAAATTATACAACAACCAAATCTCAGAGTGGGCACTTTTGGATGAATTGCAAACGTGGTCTCTTTTTGAGGTGCAGATTTGGCCTTTTGAATTTTTTAAAAAGGTTTTCAAAAAGCTTTATTACTAACTTTTTGCTAAGCGCTGGTTAAAATGGGTACTCCCATAATATGGTTAAAAAGTATGTAGAAAATAGTATAGTAGCAGCAGACTAGGTGGGTGCAGGCTATTTTATATGTTTTGACTTGCACCCTACCTTGCCCTCAAATGTGACATGCAAAGTAGCTTACAATCACTAACAATCCTTGATAAAATTCAATAACAAAACCAACGTATTAAACACAATTAAGAATACAACAATAATGGAATCAAAACACCATCCAACCCAACAGATTCACTTACACACCAAAGAGCACTTGAATAAAGCAGTTTTGCCCACTGGCAAAAGGACACCAGAGAGTGAATGAACCTAACCAGGTTCCACTTCCAGGGATTTTTATAAATATTATACAGGGCATGACTGTTGGTTGAGTTACGCCCTGTTATGCAACCATTAGAAGTCTTGCTTTATGATTTATTTTCTTGGCAGCATAAAGTTAAGTATGCCTGATCCTACTAAAAATAATGGGTCAGCCATATGTTGGCTTGGACTTTGTGTGTGTGTGTGTGTGTGTGTTTTGTTTGGTCAGTCGGTATGGTTTGGGTGGGTTGTTTGTTTATTGTCAGGGGTTTATATCATCTGAATGGTCTCTACCATTATGCAGACTAGAAACTGGCTCCTCAAACTTCTGAATTCTAGATCAGATGTTATAGTCTATGTTTCATGGCATATTGGGAGACAGGTAGATTTCAATTATTTCTGGCTTTATGATCAAGAGGACTGCAGCCTTGATTCTTGCCAAAGTATTATTGATTTATTTAAATGGAATGTTTGTTTGTTTGTTTTCTACATCGCCCAACAGGCAAAGCTCTCTGGGCAGCCCACGAAGTTCTATTTTTACTTTCAGAATTTTGCAAATACTGAATAGAGTCTTGTCAACTTGAATTTCATCCAAGTCCCATTCTTTTAAATCAGAGAGTAACACTGCAGAAGTTTGTATGTTTGCACAGCAGTAAATCTACTGCATTCAGTAAGACTTAGTTCCAGTGAGTATGCACAAGATTTCAGACCAGCAAGACATTATTGTGCATGTCTACTCAGAAATAAGCATCAGTATGCTCCATGGAACTTACTCCCAGGTAAGTAAATATAAGTTTGCACTCTACTTCTGCATAAATATATACACCAAGGAGGGAAAGTCCTGGCTCTTCAAATGCTTTGGCCTATAGCTCCCAAGCCAGCATAGCCGATGATGAGAGATCATATGGGCCATAACTGGAGGGTTACACACAATGAACAGGATCACAGTTATGCAATTTAATCGAGATCATGTCCATTTCCCATTTGATATTTTCAACTTCAAGTCATGCCAACAGTTAGTCTTCATATTTATATACATCCTTAACCAAACAACAGAAAGAAAAAATCACACATTGTCAGAGCTATACATTTGCCATTGTTTCCTTATTTCTATTTTCAAAGCATCAAGATCACTTACCAGACGTCAAGAGACACCTCCACAATGACTTCTGTCACCTAAAGAAAAGTTATAACGGCATCATATTGTTTGTTACACACTGCAACAATTCACAGCTCAGCCTGCTTAGCATTATGATTACTCTAGCCCTGCATAAGACTCACAGTAAGAATAGAAAGCTTCAGATTTACACAAATCTGTCAAGAGAGGTCATCTGGAGCTTTTTCAGTTTAGTGCCACCAGTATCCCAATGACACACAGCTCTATCTCTCTTTGCCATCTAAATTTAAGGGAGCTGTTCTACCAGTGTCCAGTACCAGTGATGAACTGAATAAGAGAGCACAACCTGAAGTCTAATCCAGACAAGATCTGGATCACAGCCAGAGCACGATAGGGGTTGCTCTCCAACACATCAGGAGCAGAGCAGTTGAGAGATCTACCCTACACTCTCTGCCTATGCTTATTTCCTATCCTATACCTCTTTTATGTTCTTATGTAAACCACCCTGCAAGAGGTCTATAAATGTTTCGGAATGAAGAAATGAGTACCTCTCCTTCTCCAACATTCCGCTTCTCAGAGAGGGTCCATATGTCCCCGGAGTAACATCCGATTCCATCCCTACCTCCCTAGCATAAAAGCCTGGAATAGGTGTTTTGCAGAGGTGACCCCGGTTTTCAACATAAATGTAAGGGAGCAAATAAACACTGTTTTCAATTCACAAGGCATCATATCAGGAGAGGATGTTCTAGTTCAACACCAATCTTCACCAAAGAAGAAAGGAATATCACGCTAACAAAACTGAACGAAAGAAAGAACGAACGAAGTTGCCACTGCCTTGCAATTCCCCAGGATGTCCTTTCCTTATCCAAGCACCTGCAATCAGGTTCTGGTTTTATTCCTTTTTCTTCCTTTTTAGACATGTATTGCACCATTCTACTATTTCCCAAAGTCAATATCACCCCCTCCCCCATGACACAAGTAATCAGCACAGCTCTGTAAGCCCAATCCCTATCATTCCCCTTCTATTGATGGGAAAAGCAAGGCTAAGAGCAACGACGAAAAGTCATACATCCAATCTATATTTGAATGAGTCTTTGCATCCAGGCTGATATCCAAAACTATGCATTAGGCCATAGGATGCTCCCAAAGATGCTGCATAAAATAAACTCGTACGGAGACAGGTGCTTTCATTCGCACAAGCTTCATGAGGTCTTTCTCCCAGAGGAGAAAAGAATGCTCCCAAGAGCTTGGCAAACTAGCACATATACAAGCAATGATTCTCCTGGCACTAACTCCTGAGTAACCTCTTTACGCTCCCTTGGACTTTGAGAGAGCAACTGGTATGACAACTGCAGCATCTAAATACAAACCAAAAGCAAAGTGTGACTAATCAATGAATCGGCTTGGCAGCACTGTATTTCAGGCCTTCACCTCCCCAGTACAGCTATGACTTTGTCCTTCACATCATCTTCTCTATTCTCCAAACCCATCCCTAAAACCTGCCTTGCAGTCAATCTCAGGTTCCCTCTAAGCGTGTGGCTAGTATTAGATCATTTGCCAGAGAAGGGAGTCTGAATATCACAGCAGTCCAGAAGAAAGCATTGCTATGGAGTGAGCATGGCTTTGGGTACTTGGGATGTTTGGGATACTCCCTTGGTTCTCCTCCTATTTCCTGGGAATCCTTTGACTGAAGAGACAGATATAAATGCTTTGAATATAAAAATTAAAAATGATCCATGTATTATGGAGAATATAGCAAGTGCCAGGAACAAGGAGCTGAGGAGCTTCATGAGAACATTTTCGTCAGCTGTCCTAATGCATATCCAGAGCTTGACATCTGTGAGACAAGGACAAACAGATGTCCTCTTCATCCATGTAAAGTCTAGTGTTGTCCAAAATACTCAACAGGGGTCAGCTTTTGACACCAGATCGTAAACACTCAAAAAGCTGAGGCTGTAATTAGGTGGCAGTGTCAGAACTAACTTCAGGAGCTGGCTTTTGGCTTCACATGTAAAGCTCATCTTGGGCTGCATCCAGCACGAAACGACTCTGTTGCCAGCACTGTGCATTGCACAGCTCCGTGAACTGGACATTAGGGGAAATTCCAGCTTGAGCTGGAACCACCAGCTCCGTAAGTGAACCACCATCCTGCAAACTTCCTTTGACTCTACTCACAGGGGTCTGTTCCATGCTGTTATTACGTGCTGTCAGATTGTCTCTGGCTTCTGTGAACAAGTCCCCTCCAAAAGGCCCTGTCATTCACAGCCCTGCTCAGCTCTTGTAAAGACAGAGCTGGGGCTTCCTTTATGGAAATGATCCATCTCATAGCAGCCTTCCTCTTCTGCTGCCTGCACGTTTTCCTAGCATGACTGTCCTCTCCAGGCAGTCTTGCCTTCTCATGATGTATGACAGCTTCTGTTTCATAGGTTTTGCTTCTAGGGTAAGCTCTGGCTTGATTTGATCAAGGACTCACTTGGTACCAGGGCCGTCTTAACAGCATTATGGGCCCCGGGCAAAGCAGTGTACTGGGGCCCCTTCGACAACTACAACTACTGTTAATTTTGGAAGTTTTCCGATTTTCCAAGGATTAACATACACAGATTAGTATGGAACCCACGGGCAAGTGCCTATCAGGCCCACGCGTTAAGATGGCCCTGCTTGGTACTTCATATTCTACTTAATTCCAGCTCTGCCAGAAACAGCATCACTGTCTAACATGACCCTCTGGGATTCTTTTTCAGGAATAGTTCTCTAAAATCTAAGTTTAAAATATATTGCATAATTCTACGATACAAGTTAATCACATTGCTTCATTACTCAGTGCATCATAGCACAAAACAATCTGACAGCTTTCTCATTGACAGCAATCGCACTGATGATCCGACAGTAGAATCTTGGAACTTACTTTATTAATGATGAATGACACTTCTTTCTTCTCACCCGCTTTCAGAGATGATATGGGAAATGTTGCTGTACCAATTGTCTCATCCATCACGTAATTCGCATCCATAAGAGTGATCTACAAAAGACACATGCTTTTAAAAGAAAAGCACTGATCTGCCCTCATTTATCCTTTGATTGATCTGTCCTTATTTCCAATTAAGGAGCTCACCCACCTCTTGCAAAATCTCCTTTGCTGCTGTTTTTTTACCCATCCCTTTTCAAAGTACAGGTTTCTTTAGGCAAATTGATTGGCAAAAAGAGTCGGAGAGGGGTGCCACATTTTGGTAAGGTCCAAATTCAGCTCAAAATACCTCAAAATGAGGCAGAACTTTTTGAAAAGGCAGCATTCTGAATTTGCCAGCTAGTATATGGGTATCATCTTTTGGGTTGTGATGAAGTCAAACTATTTGGTTACCAAACTGGTTAAGAAATTTACTGGAAAATGATAATCTAAGAAGAAGATAGCCGGACTGTAAAATTAGCTACTTCTAGACATTAAATTCTGAACTATTGTGCATACTGTAGAAACTGGCATTAGAAGGGCAGTAAGTCACAACAGAACATGCATTATTTTCAAATATACTCATCTGTCTAGACTAAGAAGGTTGCAGATTTTTAATGTCAGCTTTTAGAACTTTCCTCACATATTTTCACAACCCACTGAGCATGTCATTTTAAGGAAACTACCAAATTACTAGTCTTCATTTGTTCCCCTTTAGAGAACAGATGTTCTCGTAGCTTTGTTAGATTATATTGCAATATTGATTATATTGATCAATCTGATCAAAACCCATGGATAACTGGCTCATAAAAGGGCACATTTTCTAATTTCTATTAAAAAGCAATGAAAAATGCATAAAATAAGAAGATGCTGCTTAGAAACTGCTTGGCTCTTGGCAGAAAATTATTTCATCAGATCCTAATTTAGTGCCAAATGAATTGCAAAATTCCTTTCACACTTCTTCTAAGTAACTGATAATAAGGGTAAGTAACATAGTGAGTATTAAGAACAGAAGTACTCACTTCTCATAAAATTAAAAGGGCACTACTGAGCTAAAAGCACCAGTTTGGATCATGCATATATATTCTTCAGCTGCCCTTTTTACTTTTTGTTTTAACGTGGGATGAACTCAGAAGCATGCATACGACACAGAATATACTTATAAACAGCATGAGTGTGTGTGTTGTGGAAACACCAATCTCCAGAATCTACCAGCTCTGAAGGTCACCAGCACCACAACTGGCCACAACTTCATGGAGGTGCCGACATCTTTTTTGGTTTGTTGTGAGGGCAATGCAATTGCAAAAGGTTCAGGGGTTCAGCCCTGAAGTCTTTTCTCAGAAATGCCCTTATCTCATTTATCCTTATAATTAAAGGCAATGCTGTTTTGCAAAGGGAGAACAAAGCTGTGAGAGAGCTATTTGCTCAAGGCATCCCCTCTTGCGTTTTTCAGTCCCATCCTTCTGCGCCAGCTTCTCAGCAATCCTGTGTTCTTCTCCCTCATTTTACACTCAGGATTTGTCCCTAAGTTCTCACTGAGGTGGCAAACCTATTTCTGAGCTATGTAACTTCACCAGGAGGGGATATGCATGACTGAATGTTCCTGCATACACTAGCACATCCCCCGCACACAGAAAACTAGAAGTTAAGGAGAAGGCACCTGCCCTGGCCTGCTTCTTTTCTCCATGTGAGAATAATTTGGAGGAAGTCATCCATCATGCAAACCCCCACCTGTGATTTGGGGTGCTACCACCCAGGCACAGATTTATGCATGTACAAAAAGAGCCCAAGCAGAAAATTGCCTTATTCTTGCAATATTTTTGCTCACCTCCTGCTGAGCACCTCCTGCCTGTGGCAATGTCCTCCCCTATTCCAAGTAAATTCAGGAAATCCATGTCAGGAAATCCACAGACAATGTGGGCAAGAGGCTTCAGCATTCTGCAGAAATAGTGTCAATGCACTCAAATACTCCCCATGTTCAGCCATACTAATCCTGTTTCCCTTAAATAACTCTTGCTTCCTCAGATTGTTCCTTTCTTTCTAGCCATTGAACAAGTCTTAAGATTTCCTCCGAGATATACAGGCTGGGCCAGAGGTAGGTGTACAGTACTGAGTGGGTCATGTTCAGTCTCTTAGGTGCTTGAAATGCCCTCCAGCAATGCTGCAACATTCCTGGAACCTGTCCCCAACACTGTGACACGAATTCCAGTTAGCACCAATGTCAGTCGATGCTTGCAAGATCAAGCCCTTCAATTCCTCCCCTGTGTGAGCCTCTCCATGATCCAATCAGTGAGCCGGGGGTCAGACTAGATGGCCTGGGAGACCCCTTCTGACTTGCTTTGTTTCTACATTTCTATGTATACCTACCTTTGACCCACCCTGTGTGTGTGTGTGTGCAAGCGTGAATTAATCTGTTTTAAGTTTGGTTTAAAATTTTGTATTACACATTTTGCGATGTTGCAAGGTGTTTTAATATGTTGTAGCTTTTCTTGTATTTTCAATGTGCTGTTGTGAACCGCCCAGAGATGGCAGTATGGAAAATAAATAAGGAGTGCCACATTTGTATGCTTTATTTTGGATACTGGGGTTTCCTGGGGCTAAGCATACAGCTTCTTGGATGGACGTCTCCCTCCCCGAAAAAGAATTATTTTCAACTCAACATTAACGAAACAAGCCTGGATGGGGTCTCCATGCCAGTACAATTTGTGCTGGTACCTCCAGGATATTTTCCTGATTGGGATCCAGAATGATCTCAAAGGTCTCATTCCACTCAGGGTTCACGTTGTTGTTGATGTGTTTCGTTCTCTTTCTGCTATCTGGGGCTGTTGGGATGAAAACCTCCACGTAGGGATCTGGCGTGTCAACTGCACGAAAACAAAAAAGACAGAGGTCGGTCATTGGGACGCCAAAAGTTCACGGGCAAATTGTATGGCCATTGCTCTCCATGCTTTCACTCCATTCCTGCTGTTGCATTCCCGCACACAGGCCTTCCAATTCCCAAGCTAAATAACTGAGAATTTGCATAGCAAGCATGTCAAGCTAAGAGCACAACTTATCTGAAGAAACAGATACACTGTATTAAGGATGAGGAAGAATTTCATTTTGACTGCATTGTTAATGCACTTCCCAGATAAAAGCACAAACAGAATAGTTATCCTTTTGATGGTGCACTTCTCCGAACTTTGTGATGATGTTCCCAACACAAAAGTTGCATATACCAACGCATAGGAGCAGGAATGGGCAGCTTCTAGCCCTGCCAATTTTCCCTCTGGCATAATACTGGAATTCAGGGGCACAAGACTTCTTGATGGCCCCCAGTTTGGATGGCTACAGGATCCTGGACAAATTTGCAGGACAAGAAGACTATCAATGACCACTAGGCCTGAGACTAGTAGTCCAGGCAGTACACTTATGTCCACCAGTTGCTGGGGAACACAGGTGGAAGGACATGGTGGTATTCATGCTTGACTCATCTATTCGCCCTGGGAGCTGGTTGGCCACTGTGTGTATAGAACGATGGACTAGATGGACCACCATGATTCCTCCTAGATCTTATGGGTCTGCCATGATATGGAGCAGAGAACTGCCCACCTCTCCCTATCACCTTTCTCTGCATATCTCAGTGCGGACTAAAGATAAAACTCATGCAAGGCATGGAGGGCTACATGTGTCTTGCAGGAAATACTAGATGAGCAGTATTGCCTAATAGGTTGGCCTAGATCATGGGCACATGGACCCAAAATGATTCACTACCACTGGGGAAGAATGCTGGACTTATGGTGGTTGGAGCTGCCCGTAAGGCACTAGCACCCATGAAGTTCTTCAGTGGACAAAATGCATGGAATAGATTCATATGCATGCTAGCCAAAGGCCCATTATGAAGGTCAGCTGGGGAGAAGCAGATAAGGAACCCATGTGTGGGGAGCACAATATGCTTCTTGCATTCCATACACAAAAATATATTGACGCCCTTGTCCAGAGAGAACTCTGCCATTGGAAACCTGTGTCAGGGATGACCCAGGACAGGTTTTGCCAGTTGCCTATAATGGAAGAAAGAAAGAGCTTGCCCCAATCCCCACACCTTATTTTCCAGCTAAAGCACCCTCTAGAGCCCTGGACTATCTTCTGCTGCCCACCAGGAGCAATTCTCCCCTTTCCCACCATCTTCCTAGTTTCCGGAAACAGCCTCTCTCCAGAACATTCTTCCAGGCCTATTTTTTCCTACCATTTTCCTTCTTTCTTTCCCCCACCTCTGAGGAGACTTGAGATGTCCTGGAAACAATCCTCTCCACCATTTTTGACCTAACCAAGCTTATTTATTACTGCACTTTTATAGCTTTCATTTACAAAAGATTTACAGGTGGTCTGTTTAGGGTTAAAACATTGAACCCTAAAATATGTAAGTACAGCACTGCATCAGCAACAGAGGAGGGATGCATGCCCCTGCTGTAGCCAGTTCTCCATTCTAAGCTCTGCTTTATCAGCACAGGTCTCGGAATAAACCAACATAAATAACTAGCATATACAGTAACACCGAACTATTTAGAAGAGAGAAGTTGCCCTTCCAGACCTTGATTGAAAACTTCCATGGCCTAAATGCACACAAGGGCACAGTGTTTGCCCCGCAATCCACTGCTACACTGTTTGCCTGAACATAATCTTGATCGAGCAAAAAGGGAGAATAGATTGCTTCATTGTGTTCTTTGGCCAGCAGCTCTCCCAATGGGCACATTCAACTCTACTACCCAGGCAGTTTAAGGCATAATAAATTAAAATGCACACAGCAGAGTACGTGCTTGACTCTGAGCAGCGGGACCCGTGGCAAGGGGAGGCGTGTTGTTGGGCATCTACTGAAGGACCGCACCCTGGCTGAGACCGACCAAATACAGTTCTCTAGACCTCCACATTGCTCTCTGCGTGTTCACCTGCCTGGCACCCCAACGTAGGCAACAGCGGTTCAGGTGCTACCAGTGGTTCAGCTTGCCATTCTTCATGTACTGAGTTCTCCTTGACTGCATTTGGTACTTCCACCACAAGCATGTTTGCTTGCTTATTGCACAAGCTACTTGTACATTAGAACTCACATGCCAGCAATCCCAAGGCTGGTTCAACAAGTTAACCTCAGTTCTGAGGGCAACAGCAGAACCTTTTCCCCAGTTCTCTTTCTTCCACAGATAAACACACACTTTGGAGATTCAGCATTAAGGCAGAAGAATTCCAAACCTGTGCTATCTAAATATTTCCTTTGCAATGGTCTGCAGTCTTTCTAAGTAAGAACCGGAATGGATAGGAAAGAAATTAATTGACCAGACAAATACACATTAATTTCAGAGAATTTTTACTGCATTGCTTTGAGCAACAAATGTAGACTTTGGGTCTGTTTTTACTTCCTGATTTATTGCAGTGACTCATCAAAGCTCCTGCGTATTTTTTCTTATTTCTTTTTCAGGCAACCTCGGCATCCAGTAGGCAGCCTAACCTCCTAAGGAGTTTGTCCTACTGAGTACAGTGAGGCTTAACTCCAAGAAAGTGGAAATAGAATTGCAACCTAGAAGCCAAAACCCCTTTTAAGTCCATCAAACAATTCTAATTCAAGTTGCTGAAGCCATTAAATGCTATTAAAACCCTGTATTTTCTCCAGGGCTGACTATAATTTAAAAGTCAGAGGAAAACTTTAAGATGGTCTTCTTAAGGGCAGAAGCTTTTTGTATGGTAAGAAGTGTTCCGTGCACCCAAGCAACCCCAAGCAGAGCACAGAACAATGCAAACAAAGTTGAAGCAATACTCACGCATGTCTCCAATGGCTCCCTTGGTAACATTCTTGGCGTGCTTAACTGTCACAGTAAATGTGTGTGAATACTGGTGTTCCACCTGAATGCCAAAACAGCAGTCAATTAGGGAGGAAATATAATACTGCAGTGCCAATAACCGAAACAACTCTCCCCAACCAGTTTTCTATTTGTTTCATATTTCCCCAGGCTTTTCTGTTTCCAGAAGCAAAAAAAGCACCCACTGGGAGACAAAGCATCTTGAAAGAGCAGCGTATTTGTCATCAGCTTTGCTGAAAAGTCAGGCTGGTGGAAGGCATGGAGCTAAGCGGATTGCGACCACTCCTACACTGCTGTTCCTTCTATGCACGAATACACCTTTCCGTTTTTAATTTTGGTCTGAATGACTTACGACTCCTCCCCTTCAAGCACAGCTCAGACACTTGATTAGTCAGCAAAAGAATAGCTTGGGCATGGGACAGCAGAAGGTAGTTTGAGCCTGCAGTTTCCTCCGACAGGAAAGTCATGATTGTATCCTACTCACACATTATATTGCACACTATAGAGGCTATCTCTGCACATGTGCAAAAGGTCCTGCGTTCTGGATTTTGATGCGGGCTACCATATGCACGTGTGTTGTGGCAATTCAGAAGGCTGAAAAGCAGTTGCTACTTCTGTGCCGTGCATTGCATCCATCCATCCATCCACCCACCCATTAGATTTATATCCTACATTTTGCTTATAACAACTCAAGGGGAGTTACAGCATTGTCCTCCTCCTCCCAATCTTATCCCCACAAGCCTGTGAGGGAAGTTGAGCTAAGAGTCTGTGACTGGCCCAAAGTCACCCAGTTGGCCCCATGGGTGAGTGGGAACTAGAACCCGGATCGCCTGAGTTCCACTCCTGCACTCTTAACCCCTGCGCCACACTGGCCCTCTGCTTATTGCAAGAGAAGAAGCTATTCCATCCCATTTTCATTGCAAATCCATAGGAATGCCAGACAGACAGCCTTCAGCTGGTTCATCCAGCAATACCATATTTTGTCAGGTTACTTATTTCTAATTGGAAAGATTTCTCGATATATATTGATCTTGCAAGAGGAAAAAAGTAGATGATAATGATCATGATGATGACGATGATGACAATGACAATTAATAGACCTCCTTTCAGCAAAGCTTTAGCTAGCTTACAGAGACAAGAGAAACATAAATATTTTTAAGTGAAATTCATTAAAGTTTTCAAGGACATTAAGAAGGCCAGGAAAATTAAAACACCCTTCCCTGGTGTTAAAAGGATCAGTGCTCAGTCCCAATCTGGAAGAGAATTAGGCAAACAAGATCAGTGCTTACTCCCAATCTGGAAGAGAAATAGGTTCAGTCCCTTACATCAGGCAGTGCAGCTTGGAAGCGAATTCTTCAAGATGACTTCAGTGCATGGGCAGGTTGCTATGAGAGGAGGTATTCTGCAGGTACAAGAGCCCTAATCCATATGGGATTTGAAAAGTAAGCACCAGCACTTTTGCTTGCATGCAGAAACTGACCAGCTGTCCAGAACAGTGAGATGTTTTCCCACTGACTAGTTCCAGTGAACAGCCCAGTAAAACTTATTTTGAACTAAAATTTCCAAATAGTTTTCACAGGCACCTCCTTGTATGAGTTCCAGTAATTGGAGGTAACTTTGGCCAATGGAAGGGGTCTAAAATTGAAACCAAAGCAACCCTTGAACTCCATTTTTTCAGATTTCTCCCATAATAACCCATGCTGTGGCCTCATCTGTCAGGACAAGTACTGGCTTTCCCCCACACCCACACATTCTCTTGTGTCTCCTTTCTTACCTACCTGTCCTACCGGGTTCTGCCTTTGCATACCTGGGTCCTGCCCAGAAGGTATCCTGCCATTTTTCAGATCAAGAATGCAAATTTACCTTTCACTCTCACTGTAGGGCTGAGATAGCTCTGGACACAGTCCAGGTTGCCTACTGGGCACTTCAGTTTTCTCTTCCTATGTTCTTCAGTGTTTGCCTATTCAAAGGCAAGAATGCAAAACCAATGGACTGAAACCGAACATGACAAGTCTCTACCTATATTTTTCTCTCTTGGGAGTGGCCAGGAAATCGGAGTACGTATTTAGAAATGGAGATCTTTTGTTTCAAGAGCTTTCTTCATAAAGGAAGGCAGGATGTGTCCCACTGGGGCAAAGCTCAAGAAACCAGGCTTCAGGTTGGATGTCAGAAAGCACTTCCTGATGGTTAGGACCCCTAGGATCTGGAATGGGCTTTCAAGGAAGGTGGTTGAGGCCCCATCAGTGTGGGTGTTCAAGGAAAGATTGGACAACTGTATGTTGGGGATTACATAAGCGAAACCAGCGGGAACTGGGCATCAGACTAGGTGGCCCAGGAGACCCCTTCTGACTTGTGTTGTTTCTGTGTTTCTGCATTTCTAAAGCACATTCCCTCCCTTCCTAAAGGACACAGTGATGAACTTGCTTCAAACTGAAAATGGCGCTATTAAACATATTTACCATGGACACGGCATGTAGAGAAAGGTTTGGAACACTTCACACACCTTCTGTCTGTCTTTTTTGATTCTTCTCCCTCTCTCTCTCTCACGCTCCTTTTTCCCAAGTAGGCCACTATTATTATCTCTAGATTGAAGACTGGGGAGTGTGGAGGCAATGGTGGCTCGAACCAAAAGAACAGGGATAGGCTAGACATGCACATGGTGGGCATGTCATGGGTGGAGCCGGCTGGAGTCGGGGGTCAGACTAGATAGCCCAGGAGACCCCTTCTGACTTGCTCTGTTTCTATGTTTCTATGTAACAGTGAATTGTTAAAGTCACCTAACAGAGTCATGGCAGAACCAAAAAAAGGTTTCTTGGCTTTTGAGGTTGTAACTTTGCTCCTTTTCCCTCTCCCATGTGCCCCCCACACCCCGTGGATTCTCTAAAATGCTCAGATCTTGAGCTTGTAATGAATCAACATCCAGAGTCAAAGGAAAGCAAACATGAGGAGGTTGTCCAGGTGTCTCTTCCATTATCCTTGACGACCTTGACCAAAGGCAAAGATCTGAACCGAATACCATTATATTGCTGATGTCTTCTAAGAAGTTATGAGATTTGAACAGCAGATTTATGGCATTTAACTATGTTGGCATGTTTTTAAAAGCATAATAATCATTAGAAGTTAAAGAAGATTGTTCTAAAAACAGGGTGTAACTTTCAATGTACAAAAAGGCCAAAAGTGCAATTCCAGTTCCAATCACTCAGTTAAAATTTTTTTGCAAGAATCAGTGGAACCTTGGATAATAAGGTTCCTCAAAAAATCATCTGAAGGGATAGAAAAAAAGTGCAGCAGGAGAAGAAAGTACTGGGGGTTCTGGGCCCCATAAAAAGATAATCAAACAGTTTAATTGCTTGTAAATTTCTATTTAAGGATCTAAAAAAGGGACTTTTCTTTGTTTCTCCATTTACATGATGATACAGCACGAGCTCAGATGGATTTATCCTAATTCTTCAGAACAATAGGATTGGCATATAATTTTCATAGTAAAGTACACTTATTTTCATAGACCTTTTACTATACATCATGATTTATGTCTCCAAGACAAACAGAACTTTGACTGCAGAATTTGAATGGAAAATCGTGGATTTAGCAAATTAGCCATCTACAGCAGCAGTTTTCAACCTTTCCACAGCTGGGATTGGCAGCTGAGGACCACACAGGCAAAAACAAAAAGCCATCTCTCCCTTCCCTGCCACCCCCGCCGTGGCACCGACTCACCCCCCAAGAACACAATGCCAACTGGGGAAGACGTGGGGGAGCACAGGCAGCCCACACCAGTCCACAGTGAGCAGGATGTGGCCTCTCCACAGACCAGCAAGAAACCTCTTGTGGACCAGTTGAAAACCACTGCACTACAGTCCAGTGTAGCAAGAATATTTAGCCCTTCGTGCCATTTTCAGATACATGGAAGGGGCCTTGAAGGCCATCAGGTCCAACCCCTGCTAGTACAGAACTCCAAGCTAAACCATCCCTCTCTGACAGATGTCCAGCTGCATCCTGAACTCCTCTAGTATGGGAACACTCACAACCACCTGGGGTAATTGGTTCCATGGCCACACAGTCCTAAAAGCAGGACATTTGTCCTTATCTAGCCAGAACCTGGCTTCCTGTAACTTGAGCCTGTAACATTATTCTGTGTTCTACACTCTTGAATGATCAAGCAGAGATAGAAACATAGAAAAACAGAAACTGAATGAGTCAGAAGGGGTCTCCTGGGCCATCCAGTCTGACCCCCGGCTCCAGCCAGTTCTGCTCATGACATGCCTACCATGTGCATGTCCAACCTATCCTTGAACAACCTCACCAATGGGCCTCAATCACCTCCTGTGGAAGCCCATTCCTAGAGGTACTAACCTTCAGGAAGTCCTTCCTGGCATCCAAATTGAACCTTGGTGTCAAACACAAAGAGGAAGATCCTGTCCTTCTGCTTTGTGGCAGCCTTTAAGCACTTGTAGAGTGCTATCATTCCCCCATCAGTCTTCTCTTCTCGAGGCTGCACCTTCTCTCAATCTGTCTTCACAGGGCTTTGTTTCCAGTCCCTGGATCATCCACATTGTCCTCCGTGAACCCTTCCCAACTTTCCTGCACCTTTTTAAAACTATGGTGCCCAGAAATGGACACAGTACTCCAGATGAGGCCCAACCAGGGCTGAGTCAAGAACTAGGACTTGCGTGATTTGGAAGAGATACTTCTATTAATGCAGCCTAATATAGAATTTGCCGTTTTAGCAGCATTTTAAGCACAACATCCCTTCTCTTTCTTCTGTGCATCACATTCCTTTGTTTCAATTAGCTGATTTTAAACATCTTGTTTTGGGCTGCACCTGTTTGCACCTATGTGTCCAGTTTATCCTTGGTCTCATTAGAAATTCAGCACTTTTTCTTCAAAGGCAGAATCGACTTCCTAACCAGAAGCACACAAGGGTCAAGGGAATGTACCCAGTTTCTATTGCATCACAAAAATTGTTTTGGGAACTTTAAGCATTCTTTGTTAAGTCATCCTACAAGCTACCGGACTGCAAGTGAGGTTTAGATAAATACAGGT